GAAAGTTTCTATCGCACTGTGTCGCCATTGTACACAACCTGGCTGAGTTGACAAGGCTTGTGTGTGTATGTGGTTGATGGTACTCAAATGCAAGGTACCAACAACCACCTACCTACCCACCTACCTACCTACCTACCTACCCCAAGCAAATAGAAAAGAAACAAGCTGCCGCTTTTAGTACATCAACCTGACTCTTTTTGAAAAAAAAAAAAAGAAAAAAAAAAACTCCAAACTGTGTGTGGGGGGTATGTTGATCTGTCATATCCAGGACCGTCTCAGGACCTTTAAGGGTAACAACAGAGATAGGGTAAACTCGGTTTAGGTAGATTACGGGTCTGATCAGACACAAGTTTTGGTACGAAAACGGTGCTGTGGAAGCAAACATGTTGCTGGAAGAGGAAAGTCGTAGTAGCTCTTGTGCGTTGAGTTTGGGACCTGTGATGATATCATCTGACAGTGAATGAAAGAAACATGTTCCAAATCTTGGTAGGACACAGTGGTTATACTAGTTGAGTCACCAATGCCTAAATAGACGGAACCAGAGGCAGAAAGCTCAACGTGCAAAGATCAAGAGACATTGCACCAAAACACTCCAATTCAAAGCTCAGCTCAATTCGCATTCCCCTGAACCACCCCCCCTTCCCCCAACCATCAATGCTCATGCCATTAACCCAAACACCCCTTCTCCCTTCCTTTCCTCCCACCCCTTCCTCCCACCCCACCCCCCTTTTCCATCCCAATGTCCCTTTTTTAAAAGTCCATCCACAAACATCACAAAACACAAAACTTGTTCAATATTAATAACACGATAATATAAAACAACAACAACAACAACAACAACAACAACCACCACCACCCACATCCCTTCCACTTCCAACATCCATCCCACCTTCTTGAACCCAACCAACAACACACACAAAAAAAGAGAGACAGAAGAAGAAGAGATCATTGCACCGGCCTCGAACTAGCCATCTCTCCATACCGTCCTCTATGCTGCGTAGTATCATACGCCTGCAACACCCTCGTCTGCGACTCGTCCGCCGCCGAAAAGGCGTACCCCCTCTGCTTCCTCATCCTCTGCACCTGCCTCACTTTTCTAATCGCCTTTTGGAATTGTTCCATTCTGTTTCCCCAATGTTAGCATCCAATTCCCTACCGCTTGCGAGTCCAAAAAACATACCTCGGCCTATAATCCTGAATATTATACTTTTGAATCTCCTGCACATGGTGATACGCCTCCGGCTTCCACAACCTCTTGCTAAACTTCCACGCAAAATCCCTCGACAAGCACAAAATCGCCAGCGTCGGCATCTGGATCCAAAATTGCGGGCTGGAAAACAGCAAGGGGATGATCCCGTGGTATTCCGTCGAAAAGTTGAGCTTGGGCGCGACAATGCCGTAGACAGCTACAAACACCACCCAAATCACAAACGAGCCTGGGATGGCGATGACGTGGTACTTGGTCCAGTTGTTCGTCACCAACGCGGCCTTGCCAAGAACAGTCAACAAGACGGCGCCGTACATGGCTGTACCCCAGACCCATTTTCCGGCGGGGACGCTGTTGCCTTGGACACCATCGTTGATCCAGAAGAGGGAGCCGCCAATGTAGAGCAGGAGAGAGTGGTAGACCGCGTTGGAGATCCAGGAGGCAAAGACGCGCTTGTTGAAGAAGCTGTTGCTCTGACCAAGGTTGTAGAGTTGGGGATAGCGGTCAAGCAGGCGGGCGGAGACAAACTGGTCGAGGATACCAAGTACGAGGGGAGGGAGGACCGTGTAAAAGACGTTGTAGAAGGAGAGGGTCCAGGATTCGTAAATGACTTCACCAGAGAAGACGTTTTGGAACGTGTACTGGGATAACAATTAGCATGATCTTCACCCTTTCAGTTCTCACACAGAAACCTACCCAAAACTGCGTCAGATACAAGGTAATGTTCTTGTAAAAAGAAAACAAAATAGCCTTCGCCACACGGTGATAACTCCACGCACCGTGCACAAGCAACAGCTTCCTCAGGTACCGGAACTGAGCAATGGAAACATCAGCACTGCGGGCAGCCTGGAGACCTTCCATACCACTGATACCAATACCAATATGAGCAGCCTGAATCATGGAAACGTCGTTGGCTCCATCGCCAATAGCGAGAAGAATCGACTGCTTCTGATACTTCTTGACCAGCTTAACCACCATGGCCTTTTGCAGTGGAGACACACGGCAGCAAATAACCGCCTTGCACATGACCGCGAGATCGAGAAAAAGCTTCTCCATGTCCTTCTCCAGGGCGTACGTCAGGGATTTTCCATCAATGACCAGAGCCAGAGTATCCATCTCAATCGTCGCATCGGTTTGATTCCGAATGGCATCAATCTTCTTTTGCAGGTTGTCCCTTGTAGCATCGGCATCCTCCTCGTTAACAATGAGCAGCATCATGTCTTCGCTGAGAAGCTTGCAACTCATGCCAATATTGATGGCAGTTTCTTGTCTGTCGCCAGTGAGGACCCAGACCTTGATACCGGCCTCCTGAAGCGTGTGAATAGTCTCGGGGACACCATCTTGCAGCTTGTCCTCAATAGCGGTGGCACCAAGCAGGTAGAAGTCATGCTCAATGAGCTCCGCAGCCTTGTCGAGTTCGTCTGCGCGGTTTCCGCCGACAGTCGTCTGGGCCTTTTCATAGATCTGGAACCACTCCTGGAACTCATGTTCAGGAACCTCGCGCATGGCCAAGCACAGAGTCCGGAGACCTTCCGACGCATACTCCTCGAGATGGCGAAGCGTGACATCGACATGCGGGTTGTTATCGTTCAGACGCTCCAAGATAACAGTATCAGCACCCTTGGTGTAGCAGCGAACCACCCCGTCAGGGCAGCGGTATATGGTAGTCATTCTCTTTCTGGTGGAGTTGAACTCGCACACAGCCAAAAGCTCGTACTCGAGCCTTTCACCATTGGCCTCGATAATCACAGCGCGGGGCTTACGAGCCACAAACTTGTAGCCCAGCTGCACAGCTCCTTCGACAAGAGCACCTTCGTCAGGAGAAGCAGCCTGGTACTTGATGTTGCCAGTGTCGCTCGTCTCGGGGATAACCGTGTGGCAGGTGGCCAGCAGGGCAAGAAAGTGGTGAATGGCCTGGGCGCTAGGGTGGCTCTTAATGTTCTCCCTGAGCTGCCTAAACTCATGGATTCCAACTTCGACACCATCCTCCATCGTCGGCACGCGGTCCTCGGGCACCTTTTCGGCATACATAATTCCAGCAATCGAACACGCCTTGAACTCCATCATATTGCAGGTCAAGGTACCAGTCTTGTCGGAAAACACATATTCCACCATGCCCAACTCCTCCACCAAACTCGACGTGCGGCAGTTCGCAGGGGTGTCGTTGACGTCGTAGTAGATATCCATATCGTCATTGATGAGAATGCCGTGCCAGTACTTGACCAATTCGAGGGTGACGAAGAGAGAGATGGGAACCAAAGCGGAGAAGAGCACCCAATACGTTACCATATCCTTGATAAAGAGACGAGCAACAGCAGCGGCGCCGTCCATGGAATCCAGGTAGAGATAAGCGAGGGCGTCACCTTGAACACTTTGCTGGACAAGATGACCGATGGTAGAGATGGCACTGAGAACCAAAAGAATACCGACGAGAACCAACACGAGGGTGTTGAGCTGTTTCTCAACCCTGGTGCGTTTGATGGGGGTCGCCGTTGCATTTCGCATGAGCTTGGTCTCGTGGCCGGTGAACACAACCACACCGTGGATCCAGGGGGTGTTGCGCAAAGTAGCACCACGAAGCAACAGCTGCTCGGGATTCAGGGGCAGCTCTTTCTCTCCTCCACCAGCCTGCATCGTCAGGGTAGCTTCGTATGTGTAAAGGCTGCTGTTGGGCTGCTCGGACTTGATCCTGCCTCCCAACCTGCCAAGATCACTCGAGCTAACCATTGTCGACGTCTCGGGTAGGGCCTGCTTGATCTTCAGATTGGTTTCTCCATCCAGGTTTGCGGTTTCGATATAGCACAATCCTTCCGGCTCCGAGCTTGCCACCAAGACCAAATCGGCCGGGAAAGGCTCCTCGGATTCAACCCGAATAATGTCGCCCACGGAAACATTGATCCACTTCGTTTCCTCAAAAGATGACCCTCGTAAGATCCGCGCCTTGGACTGGTTTAGGGCCTTGTCGGCCTGTTTTCGCCGGTAATCCTCCACCAACTCCTTACCCGCTGATACCAACAACACAACAATAAGGGGACCGATGGTGGTGTATCTGTTTGTTGGCGACAGGCCCGGAATCTGCTGCAAGCCAGCGGTGAACAAGAAGAAAATGTTGGCAAACTTCGAAAACTGCTCAAACAAGAACTTGGGCAGAAAGGTAGCAACATTGTACTTGGCCGTCGATACGTGGTTGTCGACGTATTTGTTCGCGGCGTTCGCTGGGGGGTTGTTGAGATGGATGATTCGGGGTCCGAGTGTCGACGGGTCGGGCTTCGACCGTCCGAAGCCGAACTTGAAATTCCCCTTATCCTTCGGCGGAGGAGCCCCTCCTCCGGCACCCCCGGGTTCGGGTCTTGGTCCCGTCCGTGATTCCGTCAGTGGCAGATCCATTTCCGAGTATCCCTGACCCATTCCAAGCTTGTTTTTCACTCTTCCGAGCAAGCCGCCACCCAGGCTCAGAACACTATTACGGTTCCTCGCATTGGCCGCCGCTGCGGAATCAGCGCCGGGCGCTCCCCCGGCCTGGTAATATGAGGTCCCATCCTCCGGATAGTCGTCAAAGTCGTCGGCGTATCTCTGGTAGTTGCCCAGATCTGACGTCTGGCTGTATTGCCTGTTGACCGGTTGCGATCCATACGGGCTTGCGGGGCCTGCGGCGGAAGCCGATGTGCCAACCGGTGGTGGCCCCCTCCCTCCTGGTTGTTGTCTTGCCTGTCCAGAGCCTACAAAGTCATCGTAGGATACCGAGGGACGCGCCTGCGCACCGTCCTGGTCGTAGGCATATGAATTTAAGAGGTCGTCGTCGGTCAAGGCTGACCGCTGGCCTGTGCTGTATACGGGCTGATCATTGTCGAGATCGAGCAGGAGATCGTTTCGCGGGGGCGCGGGACCCCCGGGAGGCGGACGGCCTGTCATGCCTCAAGGCGTCGCCGCTTCGGGCAATCGGTGGTGGGAGACACGGTCAAGGGGTGTGTCGAAGCATAAATCGATGGGCAGATCGATGGGACGCGGGGGAATCGTTGTTAGCTGTAGTCGTCGTGGTACTTCGTGTGCAGTCGTGAATTGGGTATGTATGTCTAGGTCTATCGCAAACTCGGGGCGGGGTGTGGTGTTGCGGCGTGCGACGAGCTGAAGTTGCAAGTTAAAAAAAATACGGCGCCGTGTTCTTTGGTATGAGAGAGCACAGCCTCCTTTCATCAACCGGCGGAGGATTCGCGGACTGGGGTCTGGGCTACAAGACCCGTTGTCGTCGTCAGCCGTGGGCCCCGTAGGTTGTCTCTCTGCGCCCAACTCCAGTGGGCAAACGTTTCGAGCGATGGCTGTCAAAGCCGAGGATATCGTAACAACGTGATGCTGCCGAGCAGCAAGGGGGGTGGTGAGGTAGTGATATGAAGAACTGGAAACCCAAGACACTTTTTGGCGGGCTTCTTCAGGAGAACGGCGCAACCTGACTTTGGCTGTAGGGAGTGCTAGCGCGGATTGCCTTGGGACGTCACAGCCCTGCCTGTAAAAGCCGGCCCCTGCGAAGAAGTGTTTCGGAGTGGCTGACAGCAGCCAATCACCGACACGAGGCCGCCCTCAGAGCTGTCCCATGAAGAGTGACTAAGCAACTTTCTTGGTCGGTGTCCACTGCAGTGGCGGACCCTAGCTTCACTTACAGCAACTCATCTCATCTTTCATCATTCATTCATTCGCTCACTCACAACGGGCCATATCTGACACGGTCACCAGCGCATTTGACGCTTTTCCAAACCGACCTCACAACCAATCCAGAACAGCAATACCGATTCTTCACATCAGACAAAATGGTCTGCGGAAAATGCCAAAAACTCAGCTCAACCACACTAGCCACGCCGGGCGTCAAGAAGAAGAGTGAGATGTACTACGGCTCAGCCGCCTCATCATCAGCATCGTCGTCCAAATCAGCCACCCTCGGGCAGAACGGCATTTCCAAGAGCAAGCTGCTGTCCAAAGCGGCGAAGAACCCATATGCTCAGTATTCGAGTTCTTGCACGCAATGCAAGACCAAGGTAAACCAAGGGCACACCTATTGCCACAAGTGCGCATACAAGGCAGCTGGTGGGTTTCTCTTCTCTGGTTAGCAGTTGGAATTGTTAGCTGACATTGTCACAGCCTGCGCCGTGTGTGGTAAGCCAGAAAAGAAAAAGTCAGCAGCAGCGCCAATTGTGGATGGCACCAAGAGGTCTCTGAAGTAAGTGATGAAGATGGGACTGGTGGAGGTCGGGTCAGAAGGTCAGGCGCCAGGCATCGGGAACTGACGCGAGGTGTGTATCATTCCCTGGGTTTCATGTTCATTGCTAAGTCAGGCGTTTTGGCGCATTTCACGGGCGGTCTCGTTCAGAATTCTCAGTCATAACAAACATAGTAAAATCGAAATTATCCTAAACAACCGTATTATATCATAAACACACCTGACTTGCCACCCCCAATCTTGTCTCTTTCAAATCGAAGCCTTGAACTCCTTCGCCCTCCCCTTGAGCAACTCCCCCACAAACTCCCCAATAGCCTTGTTAACCTCTTCCGGATTCTCCCACGTAGCCCAATGATTAGCCTCCACCTCTCTCTTGATCAACCCCCTGGGGAAAAACTGCTCCATATTATCCGCCATCTTCGGCGGCAAGGCAGTGTCCCTCGTCGCGGTAAGAATCATGCCCGGCACCTCAACCTTGCTCTTCCCCTCCTTCACCAAATCAGCCTTCTCCTCCTCGTAATTCACGTCCCACGTCCGGTAGTAATTCATCGGGGCGTGGACCCCGTTACGCTCATACTGGTCAACGTAAAACTCCAGCTCCTCCTCGGACAACAACTCTGACTTTTCCACTTTGACTCCTTCGTCAAAAAGGGAGAGGTCAATCCCCACGTTGGCGACGAAATGGCCCTTGCCGGTTTTGCTGTCTTTGCTGCCGTAGAGGATGTTTAGAAACTTTCTGATGCCGTCCCTCCCGGCGGCCTGGATTTTGTTTTCGAGGGTGGGATCTTCGAACTGGAGCTGGTAGGCAAAGTTGGGGAGGAACTGGTCGATGAGGACCTTTTTGGGGATGTAACCCTGGCTGTTGGGGGCGTTGTAAGGGGTGCAGATGCTGAAGACGCCCAGGATGAGGGCGGGGTGCCGGAGGGCGAGGCGCCAGACGATGGCGCCGCCCCAGTCGTGGCCTCCGAGGATGATGGGGTGGGAGGGGGAGACGAGCTGAATGAGGGAGGCGAGGTCGGTGGAGAGGGATTTGTAGGAATAGGGCGGGATGGGGGAGGGGGCGGAGGAGAGGCCGTAGCCTAGCATGTCGGGGACGATGACGCGGAGGGAGAGGGAGGTGAGGAAGGGGATTTGGTGGCGCCAGCCGAAGGAGAGGTCGGGGAAGCCATGGATGAGGACTACCGTCGCGGCGGGGGTGCCGCTGGAGGGGAGGGCTTCGAGGTAGTGGTAGGTGTGTCCTGAGGGGAGGGTGGTGGTGTGGTGTTTGACGCGGGGGTCGTTGGGGACGAGTTTGTCGACCATTTTTTTGGCGGTTTTAGGGGGCGTGATTCTGGAAAAGGGGTAAGTAAATAAAGTTTGCTGATGACGGTGGTGGTGGCGTCAAGGGGGTGGTGGTGTCTTACCCAACGGTGTTTATGCGTGGTGTCTCTCAGGGGCTGTCAACGTCTACCATTCAACGTTGAACCAAAGACACGCAACCGAGTTCAAATTTCAAACCCACGCTGAATGAACTCTCAAATCATACAACAAACCAAAAGAAGTGATGATGGTTTATATACCAACTCACAACCCTACTGCAACAATTATACCTGCAATCGGTTGCATGAAGCCCCGCATTTCCCTTTCAACAGCTGCGTCATGAATTCCCGATCCCGAGTCTAAGCCGTTGCTTGCCCATGCAGCAAAGCCAAGAGCTCCCCCCTCATGCCACCCAAAAGGGCCAACCGATTTGATCGATTCCGGGAACCAGAATCCATATCCAGGTACCACGGCCGAGGCATTTGCTTGGTGGATTTGTGAGCCTCTAATAAGAAATCGGCATATATAGTACCTACCTATGCAAGCCGCCATTGAAATTGATTAGCTGATGTTAACTCCGCTTTGCTCCGTCCTACCTATCCACTGTGTTTTATCGCCATCAATCCATCATTGACTCCAACCAAGCAACAAAATCTCATTTCATCTCCTCTGTACACTCCCATCAGTTGTGAGCCCTTAGCGAAGAGACCCCCTTTTTTGGTGTTTTGTCTTCTCGTATCCAAAAACCAACAACCCCTTGCCCACTTACTACCCCCCCCCCCGGGCGTTCTTCGGTGCATGTTTCTCCTTCCTGAAACCC